TATATATATATATATATATATATATATATATATCCCCTCTGGTGAGGACTAAAAAAAGAAAAATTCTGCTTGGGCACTGTGGTGGTTAATTTTATGTCAACTTGACTGGGCCACAGGGTGCCCCAATATTTGGTCAAGTGTTATTCTGGATGTTTCTGTAAGGGTATTTTTGGATGAAATTAACATTTAAATCATTAGCTTGAGTAAGCAGATTGCCCTAACATGGGTGGGCCTCATCCAATCAGTTGAAGGCCTGAATAGAACCAAAAAGCTGACTCTCCCCTTAGTAAAATATTTCCTACCTGACAGCCTTCAGACTGGGACATCCACTTTTTCCCTACCTTCAGACTCAAACTTAAATATCAGTTGTTCCTGGGTCTCAAGCCTGTCAGCTTTCAAACTGGAGTTATACCATAAGTTCTCCTGGGTCTTGGACCACCAGACTCAGACAGGAACTAAACCATTGGCTCCCCTGGATCTTTCCAACCCTGATGACTAACCCTGCAGATCTTGGGAGTTGCCATTCCCCATAATCACATGAGCCAATTTCTTATAATCTCTCTCTCTGAAAAAAAAAAAAAAGAGTATACATTTTTATATATACACACACACACATGTATATTATGTTTCTATGAAGAACTCTGACCAATACAGGCACTAACAGAGTAACAGAGAGAATTTCTGAAAGAAAGATCTAGTTTTTGTTGGATAGAACCAAGTATCCATCTGCAAACTGATAGCCAATATCTCCAAAAAGAGGCCAGGTCACATCTGTGGAGTGCCTTGAAAGTGACTAGGCTTCTTTCTGCAATCCACACCAAAACATCAGATTCATTATTTATCCTCACACCTGGTCTATCAACTTCCTATCTGAAATCAATACTCTGACCTAAGAGTCTGCCACACAAATAGTCAAGACTTCCAGTATAATGTCTTGTGGGGGGAAGTGTCTACATTGGTGGTTAAAACTGCCACTTTTTCTAGCTGGGCCTCTCTAAGTCTCAGGAGGGCAAACGAAAGGGCCGGTGCAACCGGCGGACTCATCCATAGCTGTCTTTTCAAGGCCACGCACAGCTGGCCTGCTGGGTTTGGAGCTGTGCTTACCAGCTCCCTGGTGGTGCTCCTGGCAGGATGGCAGCTACCATGTCTAAAGTCCCTGTACTTGGTTGTCATCAATAGGCAAATTCGCTTTGAAAACATGTACATTAGCTCTGGATATCACCAAATATGTTGAAAATAGCATCAAGGAAATAGAAGAGGATGCTGATTTTTATCCCCTGGCCACCCGCTACCCCATATATGACCCAAAGTATGTTTACTTTTAAAAAGCTGGCTTTGGGGAGCTAAAGGTCTGAACTAAAAAAGAGAGAGAGAAAAGCAATTCTTGATGAAATAAGTAAGAAGTCAGGAGCTACTCCCCAAAACTCCACGAACTAAAAGCCCACGTGCAGGATGAGATAAGATGAAGTCCTTCTAAATAGCCCCTCAAATGGAGAACCCCTGGATCTCAATGACACACACTTGACATCACCACCCTCACCTAACCTGATTGTTCATTTGGTTTGCAAGAATTCTTCCAGGGCAATGGGAACTTCAAGTCCCCAGAAGGAGGCAGGGTTTAGAACTGGGAGAAAGGGGGCACGAACAGAACCAAGAAGGGGTGTAGATTAGGGGAAAGGAGATGAGCTGTTCCAGAACCAGGTGCTGGGCCAGGAGACGCAAGCCCAGAGCACTGGGCTGGGCGGCCAGGGGAGCAGCTGATGAGGCACCTCCCTATAAAGAAGGAACCTTGAGCCCCTGGAGGGCGGGGCCGAGGTCAGGCAGCCTGGGCAGGAGGGAAGAGTCCACGTTCAGGGCCACATCTCCATTTGCATGGCCTTTTGCATCTGGCTTGGGGACAACTGATTCCTCCGATTTCTGGAGTTCTGAGCAGATGATTAGAGGGGCCATGTTTTTCCCTCCATCATGAAGGCAAGGTTCAAAGAAAGGGCGAAGGGGGCCAGAGAAAGCGTGGGTGAAAGTAAAGATGTGGGATTTGTTGGTCACATTGTAGAAGGAGATGATTCCTGCTTCATAGTCCAGGAAAATCCCCACGCAACGTGGGGACTCCTTCAGACGGAAAGAAGTCTGAGGGGACGTGAGAGCTTCATACTGGGTCCCATGGCTCTGTCGCACAAGCCAGTGTCCGTTGGCGGGCGAGGCGGTGACCTTCCCCTTCCTGCTCACTGACTCACTGCACACCCCCAGGATCCATTTGGTCTTGTCTCCCACGTACACCTCCCAGTAGTGACAACCAGCCATGAAGGACTCGGAGCCCAGGACGCTGACGACGAAATCAAATCTCTGGGGGTTGTCCACGACAGACTGCCTTCTGTCCCCAAGCTTCACACATCTGCGGTCCTCAGACAGGATGAGTTTGGGATGCGCCGTGTCGGGGTCCAGGGTCACCGCCACTGCAGAGAGGCAGAGAGAGGTGAGGTTCTGGAAGGCTAGGGCTTACGGGATCTTTGGGTAGCTTTGGAGGGAAAAATCATTCCTGGGTCTCCAACCCGTCAGGGACCCGTTTTAGTTCATGATTCCCTCTACTCCCTCTGTGCTGGAACCAAGGAAAAGTGCCTTCCCGTCTCCTACACCCCCTGGTCGTGTATTTGGTAAAGGAGAGCACATTTCCTCTCTGAAGCCGCCTTAATCCCCCAGGAAACACCGCCTCTGTCTTCCAGGGCCCAGAGGAGTCTCACACGGTAACAAGCACCGGCCCTGATGTCAGACCCAGAAGCCACGCTGGAAGTTGGAATCCCAGCTCTGCCGCAGGCTAGTAGCTATGGGACCTGGGGCCTTACGCATCTCCCTTAGTTTGTTCATCTGTGAAACGGGAACAAAGGCAGCACCTCCGCTGTAGAGCCCTTGTGCACATTTGATGAACTAACGCATGGGGCAGTGCCTCCTTCACACACCAACTATCATTTTACACGTTAGTAGAGACTCTTCCTTAAATTTGTGGAAGGTCATGGTGAGTCTCCCTCCTTCCCCTAGTACAGAAAACAGGTCCTTCTTGGAGAGCTAAATCCATTAAATGTGTACTCGGCCCAGGCGGTGGGAGCGAGCCGGGCTGCGGGTGCGAGAATGGTTGGCGAGTGCCCAGAATGGCAGCCAGGTGGACCTGGCGTGCGCTCCTGTGGCCGCTCCTGTGGCCGACTCAGCGGTGCCACTGAACCTGCCTTCGAAAGAAGACGGCGTGAGCAAAGGGGGATGGGCAGCCTGAAAAACTGACCAGGACCCAAGCAGGGAAACTAACAGATCTCGCCGAAGCAGCAGCAAAACACGCAAATATTTAGGAATAAATTAAAAGAGATGTGCGAATCTTTTAGAATAAAACTACAGAACCTTTTGTAGTCTACACCACTGGGGCATCTGCCCAACCCATTCCCTTCTTCGCTGAGAATCTCAGTCACCAACTCCCAAGGGCCAGAAGACCGTGGCAGTGGTGTAGACGGAGGGAAGGCCTGGCTCTCCACCCGCTGGCAGGCAGGAGAACGGCGCAGGGAAAGGGTTAAAAATCTGACTGCATAAAACTAAGGCAAGCATGTAGCAAAAAATATATAGAAGGAAACTAAAATGCAAATGAAAAACTCGGAAAAGTAATTTGTGACAAATAGGACAAAGAGATTCTACACTTTATACAGAAAGAATCCCTCACAAACCAAAAGGTAGCCAGGGTGGGGGTAAGAGCAAAGGCCCCGAGAAGACACACAAATAACTAATAAACTTTCTAACTGTGACCCTCCAAAACGAAAAACAAAAAACACAATATTATTTTAAAATTTGATAAGCAGATAAACAGGTTTGATTTTTTTTTTTTTTTTTTAGATCAGCCTGCATTCCAAAGGAACAGGGCGCTGGGCTCCGAAACGGGCGGATGGGACCGGGGAACTTACCGAAGTGCAGCCGGGCCCGCCTCCAGCCTGCAAGACACAAACGGGTCGGTCGTAAGGGCGGAGGAGTGGGGAGCCCCAGAGGGCGGTCAAGCCTGGGGACAGTGCATCTCACCTGAGTCGGCAGCAGCTCTTTTCAACTCTATAAAACAAGAAAGGAGAGGGTAAGCTCTCACTGAAAATATAGGAGCAACAGGAGAGACGTGGGCACGGGAGTTATAAGAACATGGGAAACTTACTCAGTTCACTCCGGAGTTTCTCTAAAGAATAAAAACAGTTTCACCGATCAGAAGGAGGGCTTCCACATTTCCATAACGCTGCGGTCCCCTCCCCGCATCCCCGCATCAGATCCGCACTAGCAATACCCTGACCGTCCCGTGGCAGTGCTTGCAGCAGCAGTGGCTCCAGCCCGCACCAGGCGTGCCCAGTGACACTGCAGAGGGTCAGCAAATCCCTAATGAGCCAAACCTGGCCACGACTGGTTAAATAACACATCTCACGCGTCTAGGTCACACCAACGGAATACAGTATAGATAGGTATTGTGAGAGGACAGTAAAATATAAGTTCATTTAAAGCTATCACGGAATTTCTATGAGTTTCTTGTGTATATTTAATCAAGGTAAAATAAAATAGGCATGTCACGTCCGAAGATTCTTTTTTTTACAATAAAGAGGCTCCAGTACATGAGACAGTGCAGAAACCGCTCCACACATTTGGTTTACTGAGGATCCACCCACCTGGGATCCCACCTAAGGGGATGCCACGCCTGGTGACAAAGGGTCTTCCAGATGGCTTCACCTACGGGAGCTACGTCTCTTCTTGGTTAAACGCTTCCCATTTAGAGACTAGGTGACTATTGTGCAGGAAAGGGGAGCAGGGGATATTTGAGAAAAGGCCACTCAGAGCCAAGAAATCTCCAGCCCCATGGCTTGCAGTACCCTGGCCCCTCTCTTCTGCCCCAGAAGCGAAACTGACACCCATCCTAAAGCAGAGAATTTGGCAGCAGGAGGTCCGTGCCACCAATGAGGAGCAGAACTTACTGAGGGATTTATGGAGCCTTCCTGAAAAACAGAGAAAAAGGCATGAGTGAGCAGACGCTCTGCTGGATCTCTGAGCAGAAAGGTCATCACCCCCCCCCCCCATGGAA